TATATATATATATATATATATATATATACACACACAGAGAGAGAGAGAGAGAATTATATTTTAGTGTTTTTCGGATAAAGACCATATAAAGAATCGTCTCTTATTACGGAAGGTTTTCCTGGAATTACATCTAGGTACCCGCCAGTTTGGCCACGTAAATGTGTCCCGCTGACGTCACGATGTTACGTCATCACTCTCTGCGCTTACCTGGCGTACGGTCGCATCTTCAGCGCCAGCGAGCGACTCAGGCAGAAGCCAGCGCCACCTGTCGCGAACCAGAACGAGGCTCGGTCCTCGCGTCGCCACGATCCGAGATCCAGCTTGCGCGACAGCGACGGCCGACCGAGATATAGATCCTCCCGTGGATCCATCCGCGAGAGGAAGCGAGCTAGACTAGCAACGTTCACGTAGTTGTCGTCGTCAAAGTGACAGAACCACCTAGATCCAAAAACCGCCAGAGGCACGTCCCAGAGTTAATTGGAAGTCGGAAAAGATGAGTGGAGCTCATTAAATTCCGAGCGAGCAAATAAATATCGTAGATTAAAATTCGCAACGTCATTTTAACGAATTTTACGTAATTTTTTTTTCAGAACGAGTTTACTCCGCGCGACTTAGAGAGGAGAAGAATCGGAAAATAAAATTTATTTATCCGGATTAACTTTTGGGGAAATCCGCGGGGCAAATGCGGGAAAAGCCGCTATGCAAATCAGAGCGGAAATCTCACACGCACTCGGCTAGTTGTGCATGCGATCTCGCAACTCGCGTAAACTAATAAATCAATATATACGAGGAGCGCACATTTTATCCATGAAAAGACTTTTCAAAATTATCTTCTTTCATCTTTAGTAAGAAAGACTATCTTCAGTGCATGTATTTGTATTTGAATTACATGCAATAAAGATTTAATAACAATAACAATAATAATAATAATGATAATGATAATAAACTAATAGATTAATATACGAGAGGCGCTACTTTTTCTCGGACTCCATGAACGCGTCATACTCGGCGGACATCTTGCAGCACAGGTCACGTGGTAGGTGACTCGCCGAGCAATTGGTGTTGATGAGATGACCCCGAGCTTTCTCGTTGACCTCTACGTCATCCTCGTCGGTGAAGAAATACGTCTGGCGAAAAATAGTCAAATTTTAGTGTGCGGCGTTATGAGTGTAGATTGTATTTTAAAAGATAATCGTGTTCTTCAGCGAACACCGGCAAAATACAGAATTTTTCCGCTTATTCGTTATCTGTCTGGGAATCTATGTATATATATATATATATATATATATATAACTATATCACGAGTGGAAACAACAATATAGTTCTTTATTCTCCCATCCAATCTCTCTCTCGCTCATTCTCTTTCCATTTTTTTTCAAACTCGGTTCGTGAAAGCAAGAACCAGTTTCTCAAACAGAACAACTTTTCATGATTCCAGCCCATATATACGCCCCCAAATTATCCGCCGATTTTCGTGCCCAACAGGTGTGGCTTGTTATCCTGTCAATCCTTCTCTCATTACATTCTCATTACAGGCGAATTCTGAGAGCGAGCGCAGAGTGATTTACAAGGGGGTGGTATGAAACGACTCCCCCCCTATCTCTCTCTAGCTCTCTCTCTCTCTCTCTCTCGCTCTCTCTCTCTATCGTCATTTTTCCCCTATCTCTCATATTCTCTCTCTCGCTCTCCGCGATCTGCTCTACTCTTTTTTCCCCTCTCTCTCGCTCCATGCTATCTTTCTCTCCGCCTCGCTCTCCCACTTTTCCTCTCTCCCCTCTCCTCTTCTCCGTCCCTCTCTCGCCCCTCTCTATCGTCCCTCCTCTATCTCCCCCTCATCGCTCTCTTTCGCCATCTCCCTCCCTCCCTCTTCCCTCCCCCTCACGCTCTCTACTCTTCTCCTATCTCCCCGCCCCTCTCTCTCCGCTCCCCCTCTCTCTCTCTCTCCTCTCCCCCCTCCCCTCACTCTCTCTCGCTCTTCGTACGCACTCGCGTTCCCTGCGTGCAGCAAACTACCCGCGTTGTTTCACACTCGTTTTTCGCAACATTCCTTCTACGATACGAGTAACTCGATTATGTCAGAGACTAAAATACGAGTAAAAGCCACTGTCTGTCGCTTAAATTCGGCGTCAAACAATTCGCGACGCGTAGCTGAGCGAAGCGTAGTGTGGAATAGTGGAGTAACCGTACAGCGAGGGCAATTTGAACACACGATCACAAAATCTAAATTCACATCTTATACAGCGAGATGACGGTCGGACGTGAGAAGAATGATATAGTGCATGTTTATGATCGATATATCGCGATATATGATTGCTCCGACACGATCTAAATGACATAAACTAATAATATTATGTAGAGATTAGAGTGATAATAGTATAGTAATATCTGTTAGATTGATATTTCATCGAATCGCGAGGTACACATGTAATATTATATTTCATTTAAATTCCAAATTTATTATCACAGTTATAGCCGATAGCGGTCTTATAATATAAGAAATGTAAAGTGAAGAGAGAGAGAGAGAGGAGAGAGGTGAGGAAGGGAAAAGCGAAGAGAAGGAGAGAGAGAGGATGAAGGAGAGAAGAACGAAAGAAGAGAGAGAGGTGAGAGGGAGAGGGGAGAGCGGGAAGAGGAAGAGAGCGCTAGATAGAGAAGGAGGAGGAGAGAAGAGAAAGAGAGGCGATGAGGGGAGAAAGGATAGAAGAAAGAGGAGAGAAGAGACAGACAGAGAGAGAGAGAGACGCGAAGCGAGAGAGAAGAGAGAGAGAGAGAGAAGAGAGAGAGCGAGAGGAAGAGAGAGAGAGAGAGGGGGGCAGAGAGAGAGGAGAGAGATATCAACTAGTAATATTATTTCTACGGTGTTTAAAATCGTAACATGACATACATTGTTGATTCAATATTATCATTTAAAGCGGCTAACACAAACACACACACACGACACCACAGCTGATCACACACACCGACCAGACACAACCACACACACAACCGTACAGACATGACAGACGCACACACACACACACCACACACAAGACAGACAGACCACACACAGCACTGTCGCGGCGACAACAAGCACAGACACGTCACACACACACAACACACACAACCATGCACACACACAAGTCACACACCGATTTCGTGCTCGTATTCACCTCCGCCCTTCCCTCACTCGCCTCCAGCTCTGACTTAACACCCCCTCCCAACCCACCCACGTCCGGATTCTTTCGCAGTTTGCCGATGTTTGCACCGACCATCGTGGCGTGCGGCACTCCGCCCCTCTCCTCAATGCATCAAGCTTACGATTTAATCAGATTATGAAAAGAAAAAAACGACGGAGGCGGTTGTCATGAGCCGACGCCACACCGACGGTCTTTTATGCGCATCACGTGACGAGTACGACACAGGTAATCGACAGGTATCTAGGTATAATCAGTGTGTGGTGGCGTGCGTGAGAAGGGCGGAGGGAGTCAGACGTGGTGATGGCGTACGTGCGGGGTTATGTGTCCCCGTACTCCTGATCTCGTCCTCCCTTCCATCTCTCCTCCTCCTCCTCCTCCTCTCCTCCTCCCACTCCTGCCGTCCGCTCCTCCCATATCCGCCTCCTTCCTCCTCTCCTCCTCCTCCTCTCCTCCTCTCTCTTTCCTCTCTCCTTCTCCGCCTCCTCCTCCTCCTCCTCCTCCTTCCGCTTCTCGGTCATCCTCATCCCTCCTCCTCTCCTCCTCTCCTTCTCGCTCCTCCCGCCGTCCTCTCCTCCTCGCTCCGTCCTCTCCTCAATCCTCCTTCTTCCGCCTCCTCTTCCTCTCCTCTCCTCCTTCTCCTTCTCCTTCTCCTGCTCCTTCTCCTCCTCCTCCTCCTCCTCCTCACTGCTGGCTCCACCTCCTTCTCCTCCTCCCCTCCGCCCCTCCTCCTTCTCCTCCTCCTCCGCCCCTCCTCCTCCTTCTTCTCCTCCTGCTCCCTCCTCCCTCCTGCCTTCCCTTCTCCGCGTCCTCCTCTTCCCCTCTCTCCTCCTCCTCCTCCTCTCCTCCTCCTGCTGCTCCATCTCCCTTCTTCCTCCTCCTCTTTCCCTCCTCCTCTCCTCCTCCTCCTCTCTCCTCCTCCTCCTGCTGCTCCAATCTCCTTCTCCTGTCTCTCCTCCGCCTCCTCCTGCCTCCTCTCCTCCTCCTCCTCCTCCCTTCTTCTCCTCCTGCTCCCTCCTCCTTCCTTCTTCCTTCTCCGCCTCCTCTCTCCTCTTCTCCTCCTCCTTCCTCCTTCTCCTCCCTGCTTCCTCCTACATCGCGGCCAGCGGAACCCTGCATGCACGTCGCTATGGGGATGATTGGGAGGCAGAAGGTGTGTCTGAGCGAGAAAGCTTTGCAGTGTGATTTAGGGCAAGGGGGAGCTCATCAAGAATGATGGGCTAGATAAGCGTGCATCGGTGCACGCACGGCACGCACGCACGCACGCATGCAACGCACGCGGCTCATACCAAAGACGCGTCTGTGCGTTCGTGGAGATGATCACGTTCGCGGACCGCAGACGGATTTAAGACGCGACGTCGCTGCCCACGTCTCATACGCTCGCTACACTACATTCCACGGGCAGGATCTTATCATAACATACACTTACTGTACAGGTTCCTTACATATACGGTGTATTACATATACTCACAAGGTCTTACATATAGTTGAATCAAGCGTATAAAGAAGGAGAGCGTACAAGTGAAATGCTTGAAACCATGTTGGCAGTATTAGTCGAATTAATTAAATTTTCCCCGTTTTATTTTGACGATTCTTTGCAGGATTATTGATAAGCTGTACTACTTGTTAGTATAAAACAAACACGCATGTCCCGTGATGCCGTGACTGCTGAGAAAATGAGCGGTCGAAAATCTGGTATTTTGCAAAAACCGACTCGAAGATCAGTGTGTATTTTTATACGCTCATGTTGAATACTCTATACGCTTCCGCGTATATGGAGCCAGAAATCACCGAAGCTCGGTACATAAATATTATAGAGGCCTTCAGCTCTCCCTACCCTCAGGTAACTCACCATTAATACAGTCGCCGCTTTTATCACGCGTTATACTCTACTACAACCGCGTACCACAGGCCAATATCACGTTACGTAGCACCAACAACCTGCATAATAATGAGAAGACATACGCTAGGAGTACGTACATGTAGTGTAACGCCCGCATTTAACCTCCCCTCTACGCCTGCTCTCGACAGTATTACGTTGACGGCCGAGTCCGAACGGCATTTGCGTCTTTATGATGGATGCCGGCCAGTCACCAGTAATTGCGCCGCTACGCGCACAAATTCAATCAAGCTGCTGCCGACGTGTAGCGGCGAACGACGCGTCGCCAAATCGCGCATAGCGCAGCAGTGTTCGATGTTTCACATTCTCCTCCGTCGCCTCCTCTCTTTTTCTCCCTCTTCCTCTCGCTTCTGTTCTCGCCTTTTCCTCCTCTGCCCCCTCCTCCCTCATATCCCTCCCCTCTCCTCCCTCCTCTCTCCTCCTTCTTCTCCGTCCGCCCTCTCCTCCTCCATCTCTCCGCCCTCTCCCTCTCCCCTCCCTTTCTCCTCTTCCCTCTCTCCTCTCCCTTCTCTCCTCCTCGTCCCGCCCTCTCCTCCCTCCTCTGTGTGTGTGTGTGTGGGTGGGGGGTCTACAGTAGAAGTCACTTCCCGAGACCATCAGACATTAGCCGTCGGTTCTGACGTCTGCGACTAGAAAACAAATACACGGCGTCGCTGCTGCGGTGCGCATCGGCCCAAGACATATGGCGCAATAGTTGGGGAAAATCGAAACAAACACACCAGTAGTAGCGAGGCAGCAGTAACGCAGTAGCACAGCGGACGGCGCATTAGCGCAACAGCAGCCAGGCAGCAGTAGCAGAACAACTTAGCAGCAACAGTAGCAGTACAGCAGCAGCAGCAGTAGCAGCAGATCAGGCAGTAGCAGCAGCAGCAAAGCAGCAGCAGTAGTAGTAGTAGTACGTAGTAGCAATAGCT